AAATGCTCTGATCATAAAGTTTATATCGAATGATTCATTGATCAATATAATTGGCTTATCAATATCAGCGACATCTATAAACGATTTGTTTATAAAATTTTAAAAATTAATTATTTTTCTCTAAATAAAACTTTCTTGATGTTTATTAATTAGTTAAAATTGAAATCCAATAAAAATCTCGTTCATTATTGTCATGGTGTCAACTGAATTTCAACTAGACAAAAACACTTGATTATTCCAGTGAGAAGAAAAAGAATTGCAGAATGTCGACAGATGTAATGAATATTCCAACTGGTACTGCAAGTAGTGATGATCTTAGTGATCAGCGTGGCAATAATGATAATGAATTACGTGAATTAGTTTATCAAGCTCTTGAACGTGACGGTTTAATATCTCATTTAAAAGCTCAATTACGTGCAGCTGTATTTAAAACAATTGAAAAAGCAACAAATCCTATTGGTATAAATTCACATTTATCTTCAGACAATGGAATGACTGGACGTATTTGTCGTGCACTTGTACTTGATTGGCTTGAACATTCACATTTATTATATACAGAAGATGTATTTAAAGTTGAAACATCTGGTTCAAATCATCCAGTACCATTAACACATACTGAATTACTTGAACAACTTCATATTAACTCAAATCAAATTAAAACACAGCCTATTTTACATGTTTTACTTGATCATAGTACAAATCGTGTAAGAGAAGAAAGAATGTTTTTGGAATTTTTTTGTTTTAAAAAAAAATATTTTTAGCCTGCTAATATTATTAATTCTCTTCCTGATCATATTAAACAATCAATTGATAATCAATTTCCAAATGAAAAAATCAATGATTTGAATCGTATACGTAATCATTTTCGTTCATTGTTTTCATCATCATTCGATTCAAGTGTACTAGATACATTTATTAATAAAAATATTCCTTCATCAACAAATTCTCTTTCGAAACATGATTATGAACAAATTTGTCTTAGATGGATGCAAGGATGTGCTAATGCATTAAAACCACCATCAATTCCTATACAACAAGTTTCATCTATGTAAGTTATCTTTCCATACAGAATTTATTCGATGAATTTTAATTCAACTTTTAGAACTTCTCGTTATCTAATAATATTTTTTTTCTTCTTTGAAAGAAGAGAACAGATGACATATATTTACTTTGCTTCAATTTTTTCATCTCTTTTGCGGATACTCTACAAATGATTGAATTATATGAAGACGGCAAGATATAAACAATAGTTCACATAGCATACGACGATAGATCACATACATGTGCATTTTTTTAAAGCATTATGCTTGAGATTATTTCTTTTGCATGATTTAGACATTTTTTACCATAAAAAAAAACAGATAGTTGTATAACAAATAATTGTTATTGCTATCGACATTTATATCGATTAGAGTTTTTCTTTTCGAATATTGTCTAAGATTTACAGATAAACTTCTTACGGAAGTATTTTATTTGATAATTTTGTATCATATGACGTGATTAGTTTTATATTGTTCTTTCAATATTTATCTTGCTTTCGATAGTTGGTTAAAGCAAGATATGAAACAGCTTCCTATCGAATGACATTTTAGTTCATTTACGATTGCCGCTAGTGTTTGCACAAGGAACAGAAAAAAAAACGAACAATTTCAAATATAACTTCAAGTTGCACTTTACGTTCTGATCATAATCGAGATAGTTAAATTGACTCTCATCATTTTTTTTTTTTCGTAGAGCCTCAACACAATTATTAACCTCGAGGAATACGGCTAACAATAATCAAGTGTCAACTCCAATTCGTCGTACGGCATCTCCACCAACAGACTCTATATCCTCCTCATCATCATCAGAAAATCCACGAAAACTTGCTTATGACTTTCCATTACCAACGACAATGAATTCACAGCAAAATGTCATTAAAAAAGCTGCTGATATTGTTCCACCATCATTAATTAATTTTGATGAAAGTGATAATAGTGATGAACAAGAGGAAGACGGATCAACTTCAATATTTTCTAATCGTAATGCAACACCAGCTGCATTGGAACGTTTAAAAACTATTGATAATATTATGCAAGGCAATGAAACACCACGTACAAGAACAATTCCTAAAAAACCATTAAACAATGGAACTAAAGATCTTCCAATTGAATATGATGACGAAAGTATGAGCCATAGTGTTAGTCATAGTATAATTAGTAGTATGGATGATATTACGGTTGATAAAGCATCACCATCTCCATCGACTAATATTGATTATTTAGAAGATTTCTAAAGAAATTAAAAACTCTAATTGTATTTTGTGGAATTTTTTTTCTTTCGTGTAGTCTATTGAATTTATAATAGCCATTTTTCTTTTGTAGAAAAGTATTTTTTTTGTATATGACAAAATTATCCAGGATGTTTTTTTTTTATTTTCTGTCTTTCACTTAATAACAGATTTGTTAAGAAAAAAAAATCTTCGCATTCATTATAACCGGTAGAGTAGCATCTACCGTTGAAGAAATGTGGCATTATGAAGGATCAACATCAAAATAGAAGGCAATTGAAGACTTGTACTTTTTTAATTATGCTTTAAAACAATCGTTTTGTTTTTTTGGAATTCAGTTGAGTCTAATGAGTTCAAACATCTTCCAGAAAGAATATCGAATTCAAACTATATGAAAGTATAAAAGATAAAAGTATGAAATTTTCAATCGGGTCAAATCGATCATTATTCATTGCAACTGATTTATTGAAAATTTCATCGAACGGTCGTCATATCTTGGCTAGACACACGTACGACAATGTTGAAATTTTATTTTTATCTTTAAAATAATGTGTTTTATAACAAGAAATTCATTTATATAATCTATTAAAGGATTCAATTCACACTGTATATTTTCCATAATGATCTTAAGAAAAAAAAAATAATATGTTGAAAAATAAATAATTGATATAGGAAATAAGAGATACAAAGAAATCAATCATATGGTGTCAATGAGAACGATTAAAAAATTCGCAAATATATTCAGAATTAGCTAAATGAAATTATAATCAATTTTATCAAAATCTATCGATAAAATTATAATTGATGAGTTTTGAGAGAACATCAAAACTTTTAGTCATGCTTTAAATATATTCAATCAATGCATATTCACAAATTTGTTGACATTACAATAAAATCTCTAAAATTTTATTACGATGAGCTTTATTTGAGTGAATTAATTTCATCAGTGCTAACAACTTACATTTCGTAAAAGTTTTCTAGCACATATTACAGAAAAAATTAAATCAAAAAAGTCAGAGGAATATTACAATTAGAAGGGACAAATAAATACATCAAGGTAAGTAACGAACAGATAATAGTGTTTTTCGGTTGGGTTGATTGATTGGATGAGTCTTGATTAACGAATTGCAAGAGTTTGTCAAAGAAGGTAGAAGAATCTTAATAGAATTTGTTCATGCATGTGCTAGTTCGTTCTCTTCGAAGTAATTGAATACAACCTATGCCATACATTTATTTACACTACCATCGGTAGCACTTACGACTTTCGATTTCAGAGAGTATTTTCTACCCAAATTAAAATTATTTGTTAGAAAGAATTCAAATTAAACAAAAAGAATATAGTTTCAAAATATATTTTACTAATAAACATTTTTACAGCGTCGTCTATAAGAAAAATTTATCTCACAACTGGAACCGATTTTGGTTCTATGGCTAATACAGGCGGTTCAGATGCATCGACATTATCAGATCAATACTGTCAATTTTAACGGATTTCAAAAATATTCACTCATTTTGATACAATACACCATGACATAAGACTTTCAAAAAAAACAAACTGCCGGTATAGCGCACATTATACCGATCAGTTTACCATCGGTAGTTATCACATGGGAAGCTTTTTCTATGTAATGTTGATGTGTTTTGTTGGCAATGGTTTCATTTATCATATAACAAATAATTAATTTTTGATCGTGTTATTTAATATTTTTAAGTTGCTTCACTAGGTTCTTCATTAACTTCATCTTCCAATGTGGGAAGTGAAATTTTTTTTTCTGAAGATTTATAGTAGGACATTTAAAGATATGATATATTATTCGTAGATATCGTCGATAAAATCCATTGATTCTAGTGAAACCTTTAAAATGAACATCATCGGGACATTTGAAAAGTATTCAATATTGAGAGGTGTTTATCTATGAGTGATACCATATATTTTACTATGAGATGAAAAAAATTTCAGAATATAAACTTCTTTACTAGTTTTGAAGCAATCAGAGACCATTCTCTATGCTGCTTAGCTTGTTTCATTTAAATATTTATGAATCTAAAAAATTCTTAATAAATACTAAACTTTTCTTTATTTCATAAAGTATTAATTATGTTTTAGTTTCAATCTCTATATATGTGAGTTTGATGAACGTTGCTCTAAAATACATCCAAATATATGTATTCATCAAGTTTTATTACATCAAAAATTTTAAATTCTCATTTAATACCTTGATTTTGGTTTATTTGATAATTACTTAAATATTCTTTTCTTCGTTTTTGAAATATTGAATATAGAACCAAATAAAATATTCGAGTTGTCGACAAATTCACATTGTGATCAACCATTAATATCATTGTAATCATTAATTAATTGAATTTTTTTCATTTAATGTACGATAAAATTATGATATCATTGCTTTTCTTGATATATACAGTTATAAAAAAACAATGAACAGTAGGTTTTTGTGCATTAGCTAGAAATGACAAAGAGAAGAGAGAAAAAATATGCATGAATATTTATTTAAAAGAGTTTGAAATAGCAATCGGGACTGCGAAAACTATGTTCAAGATCAAAGTAGGAGGGTATGCACTAATAGAGGTTTCACTGTATATTGATTTTTATGAGAATATTCAAATGCATCATTTTTTATTGCTTACAACCATTAAAACATAAAATTTGTTAGACAGACAAGAACAACATCAAATATAGAAACTTCACTAATTCAACATTAAATCTTTGCTTCTTTTTTCACTATATATTGAAAGAAATTTCAAAACTAAAATTATTTTCAACCCGAAGATATCATTTTTCCAAATACATACAAAGAAAAATAAAGATAATCACACAACAAACAGAAATATTCAACGTCGTTTGTTTCCAGTACTGCCAGGTAAACGATCCATCATTGCGCATAAATCATCATCATCATCATCATCCTTTTTTCCTCGACGTGTTGAACGTTCATCAAAATCAAAATCTTGTAGAACATGAGATAAACGAGGATTTTGATTTCGCTAAAATAAATATACATTCATTAAAATATAGTCACGCATTTAGTTGAATAGTTTAAATTAAAAACATAAGTTAGCAGCAGAGAACATCATTGGACATTTTTGTCACTCTATTCTGTTCTGGAGAGCAGAGCGTCCTCAGTTCATATAAACTGAGGTCGATTACGTAATGGATTGGTATCCTAACGAAAAATTTTGATCATGTTTATATTCAGTGCTCATACCGTTTTTTAATATAATTTTAAAAGTATACTATATATACATAAAAATTAGATTATATTTCAGTAAAAATAGTATCATTTTGATTCATTCTTGATGAAGAAATAATTGTTTTTAGTTCAATGTCTTGCTTTTTTTAAGCGTGGGTACATGACACTAGTAGCATATTTAAGGAAATAATGATCTTGTAGAAATTCGCATGTAGTACAGCTCAAGAAGAAAAAAGTAAGACTTCAGTACTCCTGAATACAAGTGGATTATAAATGAAGTACAGTGAAGTGCATACGATAAAGGAAAAATGAAGTACTGAACTTTCGCTTTTCCCTCCTTGAGTACAACTAATTTGATCCTTAACAAAACTGTGTATACTTATGCAAATTTATAAAATGATTAAAATTTTTTATTTAATAAATTATCCATCTTAGTTACGTTAGTTTCTTACAAAACGATAATCTCATTGAAGTAAGTAAGTGCAGTACTCAAGAATTTTGTTCTTCAGATTATATTACATGTCTTTTTTCAAGATGTTTAGAAATAAATGATCAACATCTTAAAAGAAGATCTATAGTCTTTCCTATATTGACAGTGAAGAAAAGGAATTCTCTACAAATAAAATTGAAATATCCTTTATAAAACCTCTCAACCATGCATAGTAGATACCAAAATTATTCAGCAAGATTTATTTTCAATATTTTTCTACTGCTGTTAGCGCTAGAAGGAGTCCAAATGGTGATTCGAGTAGAGAAAATTGTTCCCAACAAGAACATAACGAAATGAATATTAATATCAGATTTCCTAAGATAGGGATTCTAGGAGACCAAAACTCTGGTTTTTTTCAGTACCTAGAATACGGAAATAAAGTTTTGTTTAAACTACATAGAATGAGAGAGTAAATAGTCCTCTACAAACCGAAACGTCTTGGAGTTTTCTACGACATTATTTAGCACAGATACAGCAATCTTACGGAAAGACCTAATGTAGTTTGTTTTCAATTTTCTGTAGATAAATGATTGTTTTGACATTCAATCCAATCTCTGTGTCACAACCAAGAAGCTTTCCAAAGAACTGGAAGTCATCTCATTTTGTAGAGAATTATTTTCTCAAATCCTTATCTTTGAGAATCTGATAATAATTCTTGTTTCTTCATATTCTTGTTCGAAACAATTTTCTCTAATCGAATCACTTTTTGAATTCTTTCTAATACTTACGATAGTGGAAAAAAATTGAAAATAAACTTTGTTGAATAATTTTGGTACTTACTGTATGTCATCAATATATTCTCGTGATACAAATGCATAACTTACTTTTGATACATCAATAGTAATATCTTCATTTTTCGGTCGTTGATTGCTTGTTGATGATGCTTGAGGACGTTTTTGAATTCTAATATAAAAAGAATTATATAGAAAGCAACATTTAACCAAAATAAAAAAAAGAATAACTGACGGTGGACCAGTATCTTCATCCTCATCATCATCGAATAATGACAATTTTAGAAGACCAGATCGTGATGAATCTCCGCCACTACTATTACCAATAAGATCGGAAAGTAAATTAAGTTGTGCAATCATTTTTGGATCAGGATTAATCATTTCCTACTCATTTAAAATACATTCAAAATCATCTATGTTACTTATTTATTTACAATATCTGATGCAGCATTGACCATAACAGATGGTCGACGAACAGCACTATCACTTAATAAACTTTCATTTGAACTTTTACTTTTCGAATAACTTAAAAATAAGAAAAAAAAACGAAACTTTACTTCTGTCCTTTATATATCTTATTTCTTACATATTAAGACCCAAATGAAAAGTACGTTTATCATCAGGTGGTTCATGATGTTCACCGGCATTGAATGTATGCGTATTATTCAAACGACCTCTTTTATATGTTCTAATTTTATTCAATATAAATATTTAACTTTTTTTTTTTTTAAATTTTTTTTAGTAACAAACCGAATTTCACCGGGTGTTTGAAAACCATTTGGAACAATACCATTTGTTTTCACTATAAATACACCTTGTTGAGTTTGTAAATTTTCACGAAGAAAAATAGAAACCTATCGAATAAAACAAAACAAATTAAATTAATTGTGTTGTTTTAATATAAATCTCTTACTCGAATATGGACGTCTTGAAAGAAAAAAAGTATTGTATCACGAATAAGTAACCATTCAACATCATTTAATCGTTCATATTGCTATAAAGAAATAAGAAGTCATTCATATTTTTGTAATATTAATTTAGTAAATAAACTAACTTTATTAAAAGCTATAAATGCTTTATCCAAAAGATCAAGTACTGTTGAACTGCGAACTAATTTTCGCATTGAATTTACATGATTATAAGTAACTTTAATAATATCAGCAGCACATGGACAAAGCATAATTTGAAATTTAACAGACATTGTCATAAGATCGTATAACTAGAATAATAATTCCAATGAAAAAAGAAACAAGATAAATACTCGTGTAAGGAAAAAAAGTTTTTAACAAAATCTCTAGTAAATTCAAGTATAAAAAACAATGAATATAAATGAGAGACCACATTGACATGATCCCGTTCAGTATGTGCTCGAAGAATTTAGTATGATGAGAGAACAGCAATCAACACGCAAACTTCAAACACCCACTAGCCTACATCGTGATATCTCCTGAGAAATTCCTTTTGACATAATTGACACAGTTGGTAACATCCTATT